AATCCTACTTCCGTAGTGATACTGCCTCGGAAACCCAAGGAGGGGTCGCTATGAGTCGGGGCCGACTCGACGGCACATAACAACAACAAAAATACACTTAAAAATCACTGAAATGGCCAATTTTTTGTTACATACATTTTATCACATTAAAACTTTAAAAAAAAAAGGTAATGACCAGCACAAGATTCAACTGCTGACCTCAGATTAGGGAGGTAGTAAAATAAAATAGTCTGTTTGGGGGACTTTACAGTTAGATATATATTGTCACGTCAAAATCCTAGACTTTATTTTGGGTGGCGGGTTCAAGATATTTATCACATTTTTAAATTAACATTGAATAAGTAAAATTAGGCCATGTGTGGACTAATGATAAGAGTATGTCATAATCCAATCCAATAATCAATCAACCCAATTCTGTGCACCTGAGGCCTTATTGTAAATGTCGCCCCCAGACTTATGTTTTTATGGTAGTATAGTGCCTAAACAGGAGCTCTGGTAGCATAGTGGCTAAAGCACTTGACTGCTAACCAGAAGGCTGGCGGTTCAAACCCACCAGCCACTCCTCGGAAGGAAGGTTGGGCAATCCTACTTCCGTAGTGATACTGCCTCGGAAACCCAAGGAAGGGTCGCTATGAGTCAGGGCCGACTCGACGGCACATAACAACAACAACAACATAGTGCCTAAGGCATTTGACTGCTAACCAGAAGGCTGGTGGTTCAAACCCATGAGCCACTCCTTGGTAGGAAGATTGGGCAATCTACTTCCATAGAGATACTGCCTCGGAAACCCAAGGAGGGGTCCCTATGAGTCGGAAAACGATTCTACTACAGTGAGTTTTCTAATAGATTTTTAAAGCTTAGCATTCATATATTTGTAATCTGATCACCATACAATTTACATACATGCTTGGAGACCCTCAGACTACCAATGAAAACAAGAACTTACGATCAATATCAATAGTCTTTAGTGTTTGTCGCATTTCTGAATCACTCATAGAAATCTTCAAGGTGTGTAGGATTGTTGATAGATCATTCACAGAAATCTTTCCGTTTCGAATTTTACTAAAAACTTTACAGGCTTTATGAAGTGCTAAACACATACAACAAAACATGTAGTTAGTCAATTCAGAGGAATGATTATTCCTCGCTACCCCACCCTTTATCAGAAAAAATAACAATAACCCAAAAAGGGGGACTAAATCTTTGTTTTTCAGATTTGCTGCTTTATAATTGATTCTCATGATTTTAATTGACTTATTTAGGTATGTCTGAAGCCAGTAAACTCTCATACTATCACAGTTTCCTAAGGAACTCTCAGAAAGTGTCAGAAAAGTCACACAGAGTTTACATAAGCAAAGACTTCTGCAGTTTTCCCTGGGAACATTAAATCATTTTTTTTTTGTTCCTGTAACACTTAGTATGTATTTCAGCCAAAGCTTCTGGTATTGTGATTGCATGCATGCCAGTAGTCAATATCCCTCACTAAACTGTCAGCTTCTAAGGGGCAAGATTTTTTATTTTTCTACTTCTAGTACCCAACTCAAAGCATGTGTATTGAATTGAATTGAGTTCAATTTTCACTCAAAAAAAAAAAAAAAAAAAACCAATAAATGGCAGAGTTAAATACAGAGAAATATTAAAGGACAAGTAAATAGTGACTTCAGTAAGATAAGAGGAGCTTTAGTAGAATGACGAAAGCAGAAGCCAAATTTCAGTGAAATGGGAAATAAATGGAGAAATTAAAGGAAACAACTCTTTCAAGAAGCTTCCCTGGGAAACATAGAGTATAAATTTGACAAAGCACTGTCCCTGAAGAAGAAAAACTGATCCAAAGAACAAAGGATTAATTTGGTGAAAGGCAGTCTTTTCCAATGAGAAGAGGGAAGCTTGCTCAGGAAGACAGCCCAGTAGCCTAAATTTGAAGGAAAGGCCCAAGATATGATAGAGGTCAGTGTCGAAAGAAAAAATAAAAAAAAGAAAGAAAGGTAACATCAACTTTAATATTTATATATGAAAGACTAAATTCCAATGAAATCAGTGTCTCCAGCACTTATCAGTTTATTCATAGTACCTAATATTCTGCCTTTCCCCCCCTGAAAAAAAAAAGTATATTTAAATTGGAATAAGTATGTATAAAATAGGATTTGCCTATTTTACCAATACAACACATGATATTTATAAATTAAACTATCACCTTATGCTTCCTCACAGCCTGCAGCCTTTGACACCTACGGTATTAGCTAATACCATAACAAAATCCAACGCACTGCCGTCAAGTGGGATCCGACTCACGGTGACCCCTTCTTGGGTTTCCGAGGCGGTATCACTACAGAAGCCAAAAGCCACTAAAACAGTACAGGAAGACACTGACCACTGAAACAAGTCTTAATCAGGAAATCTATTCAAGGAATTCTAGAACTTCTTATTACCACTTAACTCTTCTGAGTATAAGCGTCCATGGGGTACTTCATCATATAATGTCTGATAGAGGTTAGAAAATGTTTTTTTCCTGTCAAAGAAACAACCACATTAGAAAGGAGAAAAGGAAAATATACCAAATCCCATTTAAAATTATTAGCAAATCAAGCTCTCAATAGTCTGATATTCTTCAAGTCTCTTACTCCAGAGTCTTTCTTTTTTAAAAAATAAAAGTAAGGAGATTATTGGAGAACATAACAGCTTGCAAATTGGGCAGCAACCCTATTAAAAATACACAGTTGCTCCCTGAGAGTCTTTCATGAAAAAATCTAGAAACTTCCTCAGTATCATGGCATTACCCCTAGGCCATTATACAGAGGGCAGAGATTGGGACCCTTACTATTTGATATTTGACTCTCTTGAGAATTCTCTGTATGATCTGAGGTTCAACCAATACCTTTGGAGAACTGCTATAGACAAGATCAGAATTGTTAAAAGAAAAAAAAATCTAGAAACTTCTTAAAGAATAATTAGTTCTATCAGGCTCTAAGTTAACTATTATTCTGATGTAAAACTGGTTTTTGAAATTAAATTATACTCCCACATTCTCATCTTGTTTCTTTTAGGTGATATTTCTACATGGAGAAAAATTTACCCTAGTTAGTAAATAGTGCCCATGTCTCACTCTATCCTTTGACTGTGATATAATTTTTCCTACTTTTAATTCAATTTTTAAAGAAAACTACTGTACTAAGGCAAACAAGAACATCTGTAAATAGCCAAAGAATTCCAGATTCTATCACCTCTCAGTAAAAATGTCTCAAAAAGATGATTCATCTGATACCATACCATGTAAATAATTTACATCACAGAACGTTCGTGTTGGATGAAATCTTAGAAGTCCATCTGGTAAAAGCTTCTTGTTGTACAGATGTGGAACTAAACCTTAGAGGTGTAAAAGTGAACTGTACATGACCCTGCAGCTAGCTTGTGAGGTCAATCAGGACAAACCAGTGCTCTGATCTTTACACTACCCTTCCCCAAAAAGGGTAATTTCTTGATTTGCACAAACTATCTGACATTCTTTACATGGAAGAGACAAATGATTCTTGAAAGAAAAACCCCTAGTCTGCACTCAACATTCAAGGGGCAGAATACAATGATTTAAATACCTAGTGCCTGAAGAAGGTGTTCTTATGGGTGATGAAGTCTTAGGAACTCTGTACTGATTAGGCAACTTGCATACAGAGCTTTCTTTCTTAGTTATCTTCTCCTTTGACAGCTTTGCAGAGGAAGAGGTAATCTAGAGCCAAATACAACAATGTATTTATTTAGTGCCTGAGATCACACTGAAATCTAGATACTTCTTAAAGAATAATTAGTTATACCAGGCTCTAACTTAATTACTTTTCTGATGTAAAATTACTTTTTGAAATGAAATTTTACTTCATATATACTAAAATTTTAAATAAACTATACAATATTCTTCTGCAAAGCAATATTTTTCTTAATTATGCAACTAAACATCTCCTAATTAATATTTAGTCAATTATAGTCATAAATCTTATAAAGCAGGGAAAACATATAGTATAGCAAGAATAAGATGACTTAATCACCAGATCGTAAGGTACACACACAGCCCTTGTCTATCTGTGCAAATTAATGTGGAGAATTATTGTAGTTATTCATACAGGTAATTTTTCTTTTTAAATTACCCTTATGATTAACTAATCCATTTAACATTACATGCATAAACAAGATTCAAGAGAGGCAAGCAACTAGGCAGATAGCAAAGTATCACCTTCAAAAATGAGGACTCTAGTTGTAGTTGTCTTCAATTTTACATGAAACATGGAGTTTTGAATTTTAAAGGCCATGCAGAGTATGGAGATAAGACTATAGGATCACATACGGTGGAGAATTGGTACTGAGATCCCACGTAAAGCCAAAATCTTCAAAAGGCAATGTTCCCACCAAGAGTGGGCAAGGAAAAAAACGTATCTAACAGGAGTATAGAAAATAACATCTATCTCTGCCTCAGCTCCAGAATGTAAAAAGGAAAGGAGTAAAATACCCAAGAACACAAGTTACCACGAGTGTGAATGAGATAAACAACAAAAGGAAGATTCAGATCCACTAAAAACTTCATATATGGGACTTAAAGAGAACAAATGGGGAGAAATTACTCAGAAAAAAAAAAAGAAGGAAACTATGAAGCAATGTTAAAGAACTTACAGTTTATCTATGATAAGGTTTATTATTTGTCTAATAGAAGATCCAGAAGGATATATAATAACAAGATTAAAGGAAATATTCTTTTTTTTTTAGCAGCTCCAACAAAACTTTATTTATGAACATTAAAACGTGAATTTTGTATGATTTTCTTTTTTAAAAAATGCATTTTATTGAAATATAATTTATGTACAATGAAATACACAAAACTAAAGTGACATGGGTCAATGCATTTTTTTTTTTTTTTTTGCAGTGGTCCCTCCCCTCCCATCCCTAGCAAGCAACAAAGAAAGTTTCCCTCCATATATAAACCTCTGCTTGATCCTCCACAACAACAAACTAAAACTATATTCGTCCTTCTGTGATTGATTTATTTCACTCAGCATATTGTCCTCCAAGTTCATCCATATTATGCAGTGTTTTGCAGACTCTACATTATTCTATAATACTGCATAGCATTCCAGTATGTGTATATACCATAGTTTGGTCATCCACTCTTCTGCTGATGGGCACGTAGGTTGTTTCCATCTTTTTGCTATTGTAAATAGTGCTGTGATGAACATGAGCACGCATGTATCTGTTCCTATCCTGGCTCTCACCGCTCTAGGATATATACCTAGTAATGGGATTGCTGGGTCAAATGGTATCTCCAATATGAACTTTCTAAGGAATCGCCATATTGCTTTCCACAGTGGTTGTGTCCCTTCAGTCATACAAGCAGTGTATGAGAGTCACAGCCTCTCCACATCCACACCAGCATTTGTTATTTTCTGTCTCATTGAACATTGCCATCAGTGCTGGGGCGAGACGATATATCTCATTGTTGTTTTGATTTACATCTCTCTGATGGCTAATGATTGTGAGCATCTTTTCATGTATTACCTGACCACCTGAATATCCTCCTTGGTGAAGTGTCTATTCATGTCTTCTGCCCATTTTTCAATTGAATAGTTAATTCCTTTGGTGTTGAGGCATTGGAGTTTCTCATCAATCTTAGAGATAAGTCCCTTGCCAGATATGTAATTATCAGAAATATGAATTTGTTGCTGTCATTTTTGTCATGTGCTTTTTCATTGTGTCGATTTCTTTGTTCCATGTAATTGTCTATGCTGAGCTTGTTTTGTTTATGACTCATGTTATCACTTCCTTCATTGCTATTGTTTTAGTAATTGCTGAATATTTATGCTGGTCCTCTTTTTTATTTTGATGTGGAGGTTTATCATTTTTCTTTGAGGTTACCCTGTGATTTATAGTTTTCTTCCCAAGTTTAGAACAGTCTGTTCTATCCTGTAGTTGTCTTGACTTCCCTACCATCTAGAAGTTATGTAACGATGCAGATTTTTTCCCCTCTTTTTGGCTTGTAGTTATCCTCATTTGTCAATTGGTGTCTCTGGTTCCCTGTTTGCAATCTTGTAGGCATATTTACTTTGGACATTTCCATAGCTGGGTTGGTTTCTGAGTTATATCATCATGTGTGTTAATGGTCAGTTGTTGTTGGCTGTTGTTGCTTTTCTATCCAAAGGGCTCCCTTTAACATCTCTTGTAAGGTTGGTCTGGTTTTAACAAATTCCCTTAATTTCTGCTTATCTGGAAATGTCCTAATTTCACCATCAAATTTGAGGGACAATTTTGCTAGGTATATAATTCTTGGTTGGAAATTTTTCTCTTTCAGTGTTTTATATATACCGTCCCACTGTCTTTCTTGCCTGCATGGCTTCTGTCAAGAAATCCGAACTTAGTCTTATTGGTTGCCCCTTGTAGGTAACTTTTTGTTTTTCCTGTGCTGCTCTCATGATTCTTTCTTTGTCTTTGGTTTTGATGAGTTTGATGATGATATGTCTTGGTGGTTTTCTTTTGGGGTCTATCCTTTTTGGGGTTCATTGGACTTCCTGAATGGATATAGTCTCATCTTTCATCATAT